ATGGTTTTAAAAAGTACTCATATTTTGGTTCATTACTGGTACGGAGATGGTGTCAACGGAAATGCGTGTTAAAACATCCGCTAGGTGGCATTAGAAATACAAGAAAGGACGGCAACTTTTATATGTAGGCCTAAGAAACAAGATGTGAAATACTGTTTTATGCGATTAAACCAAGACAGTGGTCACATTGTGCTATATTCTCAGCATACAGCGTTCGATTCTGTCCTAAAAAGAGAATGGTTTACGCAAAATTGGCATTTAACGCATGCGCTGTAAGCTCGCGCCAGTCTGTTTCAAGATGGTGGTCGCCGTGCAAGAAAACCGAGCCTAAAAACAATCAAATGTGAAAAGCGTCAAAATACAACAAGCAAGGTTTTTTCCGTTGGGTAGAAGGTAAGATTATAAAAATAAGGTCAAGGCTTCCCATTATCAAAGGCTGGCGTAGTGCTGTTAGGAAGTTCTTTGGCTTTTTATCCAAATATTTGTGGAGCCACACATCGGCTTTGTAGACAATGTGATGTTACATCTTTGAACTGTGTCACGTGTTTAAAACTTTGACGGATTTCTCCATGATTTGGAAATATTATCATTTTTACCTATGTTTGTGTATCCAATTGTATCACTAACAATGAATTTCAAAAACATCGATAGAAAAAAAAAATGAAGAGTAATGTGTAGTGACACAGTGACAATGGTGAAACACTCGGAACTACTCGTATGTCTCCGCACTCGACAATGACCTCGGACGTGATACGGAGGCATCCATATTTGATTGTTGATTGTTGGGAAGGAACTACTTTCAACCTCGCGCTAATTTAGACCATAATTCTTTCAACGTCTGTATCTGTTTATCCTTTAAATCAAAGTCAATCTTAGTGCATTGTTTGGCAAACTGTAAAGCATCATAAAAATCAGGGGTATTGAAACCCATCTTTATGAGCTGAATAATCGAATTGAGTGAGAAGGCATTTCCGGCGAACAAAATGCATGGATTTGGTGCATATTTCTCCGCCTATCACATCCGAGGTTAGTATGGAGCTTGCGGAATGAGCCGAGGATTGCCGATTGATGGTGAAATTCACCGGACTATTTTCACTCCCTAGCTGGTGCTAGCGAATAATAATAATAATAATAATAATTATAATAATAATAATAATAATAATAACAACAACAACAATAGTTTTTTAATATTCAGTATGCTTACATGCTGTTCATTTTAAAATTGCAACATTAATTCCATAAACATTCCAGTCAGGATGACGTTCTGGCCGCAGCTGTTAGATCTGTCCAGAGATGAGTGTAAACGTATTTTGCGACGCCTGGAACTGGAGGCGTACTCAAACCTGGTGTCTGCTTTCCGTGCACAGGGGGACCTCACCAAGGATAAGAAAAAACTGCTGCTAGACCTGCAGCAGTCGTTGAGGTAAGATGCAATCTTTGTGTGAAAGGCCCCCCCCCCCCCAAAAAAAAAAAAAAAAAAAAAGTTAAGGGGGGAAATCTTTTGCAATTAAAGGTGATATTATTGTTGGCCTAAGACTTTTCAGATATATATGAGGTTTTTAGTTTATTTTTCCAATCATCTTTTAGCTGCATCCACTTTTATGTAGATATTGCAGATTTAATCAGTGTTCATCTTGTTTGTTTATTAGTATCAGATTTGCACAGTTGCAGCTAAAAAAGACATTTCAACACTAGAACTGTCATATGTTTAAAAATTTAAGCACTTTACCTATTCAAAATAGTTTCTGTACAGTTGTGTGATTTTTTATTTTTTTTTTTGTATTTAAAAAATAAATATTTAATTAATTATTTATTTTTAGCATTTCAACAGAACGGCACAGAGCAGAAGTCAGGAGAGCTGTAAATGATGAAAAACTGACAACAATTGCAGATTGGTATGTAATGGTCATATTTATACCTGCTGACTTTAAAACATCTTTTTAATATGATTCTTAACTTTTTTTTTTTATTTTGCTGAGTAGGACATACAAAACTTTTAGGTAATTCAAATCTAAAATATCTAAATTTTGAATTTACTGTTTTCTTATTCAGCATAGCATACATAACTTTTTAACTAAAAATGTATTCATAACACTGAAATTCCAACTGTTTTCCCATTCAGCATGTCTGGGCCTAACGTCAGTTCTGAGTGGTTGGTAGAGGGGAGGCGATTGGTACCTCTTATGCCGCGGCTGGTGCCTCAGACGGCATTTACCCTGGCAGCCAATCATGCTGCTCAAGTACAGGCTGAGAAAAACGCCATGATGCCTCTGCCGTCAGTCACAGGAAATAAAGATTGTAAGTTTTAGTTTCTAAGAAGTACAAGTGAGAATGAAAAATATAGACATTCATTAAAAAAAAAAACTGAACATGTTTTTATCGGTGAGGCATGACATTCTGACCCTTCATCCACTAGCTTTGATCATATGACTGACCTACCATTGTGATCTTGATGAGAGGTCTAATGTTGTAAGACTGTTTCCTTACAAAAGTTGAGAATTAACTTTTTGTTGACCTTATCTTGATATTCCAGTGAACAAGGCACCCAGCACCCCAGTGCCACCTGGTGTGACAGTAGCAAAGATTAGCCAGGTGGCGCCACCAGACTCTCCACAGGTGGTCCCTGCCTCTGGTCCTGTGACCCCCACACCAGTGGCCAGTGTCAAACAGCGTCCATCTAGTCCAGCCTCCAATGTGGTAGTCCTGCCCAGTGGGATGTCAATACACATTAAAGGTGGGGGGATATTTCAATAAATTAATACAGTCTGGTTTGCAAAAAAAAAAAACGGGTTTGGTAATCACTTGATCTTTTCTGTGGGGTAAATTGTGAATTTAACAAATTCTTTTTTTTTTTTAAGTCATAAATTCTAAAAAATAGAATAATCCTATTTAGTGATGGTAAGATAATGAAAAATAAAGCGATCTACCTTATACCTATTTTCTGTATAGTCAAAGCACTTGGTTATAAATACTGCATAGAAACATATTTTAATGGTCCCAAAATTATGTATTTGAAAGATTTTTAAATGAAGTAAGGACTTTTTGCATTGACAGGTTTTGTCTTTATGATCTGTAATAACATATATAAACGGAAAAAGCAATTGAAAGTGAAAGCAATATAGTTATGTATGAACATGCTTTAACCTGCAATGCACTCTTTTTGAGGAGTGTCAAGTGTCTTGTCGTCATTTCAGGGGGAATAAACACAGAAGAGGAAGATGAATTCCCTTCACGGAAACGCAAACGCAGCAATTCAGTGGAGGGGTTTCTTCCTCGCACTGTCACCACGGTATCCCTGCCCACGCCCAAGGTGACGTACACCACGACCTCCAGCTCCTCCAACACCATCCATGGTATCTCCCCCATGAAGATCACCATCTCTAAGAGTCCACAGAAGATGCAGAACACTGTCACACCCTCACAGAAGGTAAATATGGGGAATGTGGTTTACTCGTAATCACTTGGATCCTTTCAATGTGGAAAAATTTTCAATCTTATAGAAATATAATTTTGGAATCATTAAAAGTATATTTTCTGTAGCAGTAGTGGTGCTTCTGCTGCATAGAACAGAATTAGAAGGTACTGCCTACTTTTTGTTGCTACTGCCCAATAAGAATATTCTTATTTCAAGACTTAGAAAAATACTGTATCTGTGAAATTCACAATATCCCTGCAAGAAAAGATCAGACCAGTTTTACCATACTGTTGAGTAATGTGTTGGACATTCATCTTCATCACTCTTTGATGTAAAAGTTTGCAAACAGTACAGAAATACTGTTATAGGCTCACAATTAGGTTTTACACCTTTATATTAATTTTTCCTGAAAATTACAGCCACCTTTCATTTATTAGCATACTATACCCTATCCAAAACTGTCTAGAAAATTGCAATCTATGCAGTCGTGAGTGCTAAATTTCCTACATTTACCATCAGAGGTGGAGTCCACCAGCCTCTATCTTCGTTATTAGTGACTAAAAATTAGAACCAAGAACTCAAAAATTGATTTTTTGTGGACAGTTTTGGATGTAATATACCTTGGTGATGTATTGAAAATTGCTGAAATTTCCAGAAATAAAGGTTTAACATTAATTTTTTTAACTTAAAGAATGAAAAAAAAAAGACTTCTCATCTGTATATTTTGACCATTGTCTACTTCAGGTCATCCTAGTGTCCAGCTCTGGTCAGTCCAGCACCCCTAATATTCTCCAGAAGTCCATCACTGTGCCTATAATCAAGACGACGGCTACCACAGCAACGTCAGCCATAGGATCGTACCCAAAGACTATTGTGTCTCCGGCTAGCTCCTCCACCATGGGGAGTATTGCCTCAGTGGTGTCTTCACAGGGTATGGTATAGATCTGAATTGAGAAATTATCATGATTGGATTCATTTTGAAATGAATTGTTTATTTTAAAATTCATATTTTAATTTAGGTTTACTTTGATGAACTTTTGGAAATTGGATTTAACTTTGAATCTAGTTAAATTTCATTCAGTAAAAATTAAGATAAAATTTTGATTTGAATTGATATTGATTTGAAATTTTGATATTTTTATATTATACTTTCATAAGAAAAGCAATTGGAATTGATTTTGACTTCTTGAGATCTACTCTGGGTCAGTTCTCACCAGTATAAGTTCCACCCCTACACGTACACTAGTGGCAGTGCACACTCACCTGCGCACACACATACATGCACCTGTGAGTTCATGGACATGGGACTGTATTATATGTAAGTTTTCCAGGCTCACACCCCAGTGGCTTGAGTATTACTAGACCAAGACCTAAGACCATACAAACATATAGTACTTACTTTATTTCCCAGGCTCACATCCCAGTGGCTTGAGTATAACCAGACCAAGACCTAAGACCATACAAACATATAGTACTTACTTTATTTCCCAGGCTCACACCCCAGTGGCTTGAGTATAACCAGACCAAGACCTAAGACCATACAAACAAGGCCAAAAGTGCAGCAGGTAGGGATAATTTGTAATCTATGGAACTAAAAAAATGAAAAACATAAATTTTTATTAATATCAAATTGGTGTGAAAAAAGGTGACTTTATGTAAGGTATTTAGGTGTAACCGTTATTGTAACTACTCTGTTTGAATTGAGACAATTATTTTTTGTTAACCAAAATATGAAATCTTGTAACCAACCAAAAAGGGACAATTTTTTTATTTTAAGTTTCTTTTATTCTCAGTCTGAAACGAGAGAGTATATGATTCACCCAGTAGTGAGATAACACAAGAGAAAAAATAATCTTAATTCATATAATACTGGATGTAATGCAGCAACTTCGCATTAAACTTTGACAAATAGCTATGTGGTTTAAAATTATAAAATGGATAGGCAGACAGACAGACAAACATAAAAAATATATATCAAAGAATTTCAAGCTTAATAATCGCAAGTAAAAAATGAAGACCTCACACTCTCTCTCTCTGTTTATCTCACTATCCACAGGTGGGCAGTCACAAGCCAGGTATAGTAATCCCAATGTCTCCACAACAGCAGCCATCTCCACAGAGTGTCCCTGTACAGCTGAAGTCCATGGCCAAACCTACCATACAGATTAAACAGGAAGGAGGTATGACACAACCTGAAGGTCATATGTTTAAGGTGTCATTTTGCCTTTGAGGGTGGGGAGGGGAGGGTGACACGGGCAAGGGAGGGGGATGGCCAAACCATACCATACAGATCAAACAGGAAGGAGGTATGACACATCCTGAAATTCATTAGTTAAACATCTTTTCCTTGTAAGGCTGTGCTGGGGAGGGGGAGTCAGGGGGGCCAAACCAACAGATCAAACTGGATGGAGGCCATTGGTTTGTGTCATTTTCACTTTGAAACTGGGATGGAGAGAGTTGGGGAGACCCACGAAGATAAAGCAGAAAGAAGGTATGATGGATGGCAGAGTTATACTGTGTAAATGGGGAACAAATTGGCATTGATACTCAGCCGTTATCCGTCAGTTGTTGATTTCTCTTCATGGTGTTATTCTAACTGTGTTTTAGCCATGAAGATCACTGCTCATAGTGTGCCCTCTGCTGGCAGTAAGATAAACTACAGGGGCTTATAAATTAATATCTGTGTTCTAGGCATGAAGATCATCACTCACAGTGTGCCCTCTGCAGGCAGTAAGATCCTCCCTAAGCCTCAGTTCGCCACTGGCGCCAGTGGGAACCAGGTGGTGGTGGTCACCAGTGGTGCTCAGAGCTCTCTGGCAGTGGTGACCAAAGCTTCGGTGGGCGTGGCAGGTTGGTATGCACATATGAACACTAAGAGTTTGTTTGTGTGTCTTTGTGTGTGCATGTGTGTGTGTGTGTGTGTGTGTGTGTGGTTGCATATGTGTGTGTGTGTGTGTGTGTATGTGTGCATGTGTTCACAGAAACACAAAGAGTACAACTATAAGGAGTTTGAATCATTGCAATTTGTTTTGATGATAAAGATTAAAAACAGAGGATCTTTTATACAATGATTTATTTATTACAAAGAATTTCATTGCTATAATTCTAAATATAATCTGTCCACTCCAGGCAGTCACAGTGTGCCCAGTAAAGTGTTGAATATCACCACACAGGGAGGCAAGGTGATAGCAGCCTCCACATCACGCGGGGGCAGTGGCTCTCCTAATGTGGTCACCGTGAACCCCAAGACACTACAGCTGACCTCAGTCAGAGCTGGGACCAGTAATTGTGAGTATTGACCACCAGACTGACCAAGGTTTATGTGTTTATGTGACAGGTAGACCACAGGTCAGTGATGTGTGTGTGTGTGTGTGTGTGTGTGTGACAAACGGGAGAATCCCGAGTGGATACAGTGTAGACTTGTGACCTTGTTAACAAGTGATGCATCGGATTGTATACTATGTTGAATGTCAAGAATGTTGTTGTATATCTACTAACTTGCATAGTTTAACATGAATGTCAGTATCTTTTGTTCTCAGCATACACCGTGGTGTAAATATTTAGTTTGTCAAAATGGCATGATTATAGATAATCATTCCTGAAGTAATTTCTCATTGATGTTTCTAACTCAGCAGGTGGTACATAATCAAGTGGTGACTAGCCCTCTGATCCTCTAATTGTATTTGGCTGATGATCATTTTTTAATACCATTCCCCAGCCTCCATTGTATAAAATATGAGCCTTGGGTCCCACAGAAATCCAATTTAAGCTGGTGTTTCATAACCAGAAGGTGTCTTCACCTCTCTGATCCCATTGTTTTGATAAGTTGATCTTCCCTTTTTTTCTTGCCAGTCTCCACAGTGCAGAAGACTGTCTCCCAGGTGGTACATAACCAGAAGGTGTCTACACCTCTCTGATCCTCTTCTTTGATTGGTTAATCTTTCATTTATATCCAGTCTCTACAGTGCAGAAGACTGTCTCTCAGGTGCCAGGGAAGCCCAATGTCATCGTGGTCCAGAAGGGGACGGCACGTGGGAGCTCCACCCCTTCCACACCTCCCATACAGATCAAGGTGCCCAACCAGGGGGCCACAGCCGCAGCTAGTCCATTTGAGAAGGTAGAAACTCCAGGGAGGTTCAAAATAGTAGGCCACTTTGGCATAAGATCACTGCTGTTCAGTTAATAATGATAATGATGAAGTCTTTATAAAACTTAGCTCTGCCATTTCACTCACTTGACCTTAGACAGAAAACCGACCAATGTTGTGTTAGAGTTTTTAAAATGAAAATGGAAAATGATAGTGACAGCAAAATATGTTTTCACATTTCTTACAAGTTTGTTATAATTTACATTTCACTTTATTAATTTTATTTACTCTTTATTCTTTTATTTCTCTCAATAAAATGTAGTGTACTGGTTAATTGGATAAAGGGCTCATATAAACAAACAATTTAGATTCTGTTGATGAATAAAATATAACAAAAGGGGAATATAATGCAGTGTGATTTATGTGCTAGGTGATTTGTATAGAATATGTGACAGAAAATGTGCTTGGTTAATTTCTGATTATTGACCAGTTGGTTTGTTGAAAGAATTTTGTAGCTGTAGCTTTGGTTACAAGGATCTTTTTCTCGTCAGGAATTTGGAACTTTCCTCAATAAACAAGACGTCCAGCGTCAGACCTCATGGCCTCAGAAGGTCAGCATTCGCGTGCAGGACACTCGTGCCAGTGAAACAAGACAGGACACCACCAAAGCAGAGCTAGTGCGCTCAGATTCTGAGCCATCAGGGCGGTCCTCCATTCTGGCTGAGCTAATACAGGCAGTGGGTATCGGGCCAGACTCAGGGTCTGGGTCTAATTCTGGGAGAGCAACACCTGTTGGGGAGGAGGGGTTTCAGGCAGTGTCACAGCAAAAAGGTAAGGGGAGCTGCAGAGTTAAAAAAAAAAAGTTTAGTCATTCATCTTTGTGATCTTTGTCATCAAGTGATAACCATTTTATAGGTTCTCAGAAATTTTTTTTTTTTACCTACTTGCACTTTGAGCAGGTAGGGCCTAGACGAGTTGCAGCTCAAAGCAGAAACAGTAAACAGAAACATTATTATATCTAGATTTTACTGGCAGTTGATGTAACGCCAGTGTTGGTTGCTAACCAAAGATAGGATTTTGTTGAGGAATTTTTTATGAAAATAAAATCAAGAATGAGAAGGAAAAAAGATTAATCATGTCACAGCTTTAATAAGATAAGGTTTAGATAAAGTCTGTCAGTCAATATGATTATAAAAGTGTTTGGATTTGTCAGGAAAAACGACAGCGCTTAGAACGCTTCCAAATTATTTATTCTATATTCATACAGTACTACATCTCATGTAAACCTACTGTCACAGGTGCATGTTGTGAACTAGTAACTCTCGGTATTTCAGAGGTAAATCTTTTATCCTTGCGTAATCGTGTTTCCCCGATACGTCCTTGAACTGTCCCGGTCCTAGGTCTGAATTACAATGCACTTCATTATGATAACAAATAAGTGCATAAAGGGTCCTAAAGCAAAGTGGTGTCATTGAACAATACTGCCAGGAAAGACAACAGCGCCTAAAACTCCTCCACAATCATCCGAAACAGCCATGCCGCATGGCCCCGATTTTTCTTCTCCCCCTTTTTGTGATCTCCCAACCCAGGAGAGCTTAATTCTCTGACAACTACCCCCTACTAAGAAAAACATTTACTGTTTTTCAATTAATAAATGGTTAAGGTTACAAACACGGTAATAGTCCTTTTACAACTCTATATAAAACGTCAACATGTTCATCTACACAACCAACACATTAATTAGTCTGACGACAACCTCTTAACTGTGTAACACTTAAAAAAAAAAATCTTAACCAATAACAGTGAACAGCTTAACTACTTAACTACTTTAGTTTAACATGAACTCTTACTCTATAATGAACTTAATAACTACAATGGAACTCGTGAAACAACTTGACCACCTCTTCACTTACAAATGTGAAACTCTATATAACATCTAGCACAAACATCATATTTAACACAACCTACTGAGGTAATCTGCACCCACATTATCTGATCCCTTAATGGCTTCAACTCTGAACCTATAACTCTGCAAATAAAGTGCCCATCTCATCAATCGACCATTTTCTGTCTTTGACTTCTGGAGGTAGGTTAACGGTTCATGATCAGTTTGCACTGTGAACTCCTTCCCATACAAGTAATTTTGGAATTTTTTCACACCAAACACTACAGCAAGACACTCTCGTTCTATCACAGAGTAATTTTTTTCTCTTGGCAACAACTTTTTA